TATTCTTTATATATATATATGATAATTTTAATTATAGCAAAACTCAATAAAGCAGAATCAATTACTCCTAATTCTGAGGAGATACTGAGACTTTAGAGCCATGATGTAACTTGTGAGGTCATAGAACCAATTCAAAGTGAAATTGTGTATAACGTGAGCTGTTCCTTCTCTTCAGCACTATACCTCCCCTTAGGAATCAGAACACAGGGAGGCAGGAAGGCATGTGAAAGCTGTTTCTTTAAACTGTCTGAACACTGTGTTTGCCAATCCATCACTCATGCAAAACCACAGTGAAGGGGAGATACCAGAAACTGGAAAACAGGGCTCGGTCAAGATAAGAAGCCTGGATGCAGAAGATATCTGTCCCTGGGAAAGGGCAAAGGGACAGATAGAGGAAACAGAAATCCAGCAGATTCTTTTTTTCTCCATATGGGCACCAACTTTCTTTCTTTGCCCTAAAAATTCCTATTATTTATTTTTATTATTCAAAGTCATTGTGATGCTGTTAAATAGTTTTTCAACGATACAAGTAGTTGATAACTATAGAAATGATCAATTTTTGTTTCTCAGGTAAATGTCAAGAGTGCTATAAATGTTCCTCAAAAATTAAAGTTATACATGTCATAATACTTCAGCAATACTATAAATTAAGTTTGTGCTGATAACAATTAATTAATTGCTTTATCACATTTATATATATATATATTTTAAATTAGCCTAGATTTTCCTTATGTCTGAAATTCAACCTGAAAATTCAAGTGACTGGAGTTATTTTTTTCCTCCAAATATAATTACCTATTTCGATGAAAAGAAGACAAAGAACAAGTAAGAAAAGAGCAAACAGAAATGTAGTTTTAAGTACTTTTCTGGTTATATCTGAGACATGGAGTACCTCTACCTCCATAGTTATGTTAACTATAGCAATTTATTATTATTTTTTCCCAGAGTATATCATTAATATAGTATGATCCAACCAAGTGAATACTATATACTAACATCAAAATGTATTTATTTAATTATTTTTTATAAGTCAAACACTAATTTATTCACTTATAATAAGAATTAACTGTCAAGTAGGCTGGAACACTTCATGTCAGCTGGTTAGCAGATATTCTCCCCATACCACACAAAAAAGATGTATTATTAATATGATGACTATGAAGTAAATTTAAATTAAAATATAACTAAATAGTTTTTAAATGATTAATTAATTAGAGTAGCATAAGTCATGCAGTGTTAGGGAAAAGAAAGTCTGTAGAAAAATAGCAGATAAGACCTGAAGGAAAAGTGAGTGCATCTAGAATGGCCAAAGGGGCACATAGCTTAAAATGAAGCTGTAGGAAAGGGCAACTAGATTAGGAAGGCTTATCGGAGAAGGCAGTGGCACCCCACTCCAGTCCTCTTGCCTGGAAAATCCCATGGACCGAGGAGGCTGGTGGGCTGCAGTCCATGGCGTCGCTAAGAGTCAGACACGACTGAGCGACTTCACTTTTCACTTTTCACTTTCACGCATTGGAGAAGGACATGACAACCCACTCCAGTGTTCTTGCCTGGAGAATCCCAGGGACGGGGGAGCCTGGTGGGCTGCCGTCTATGGGGCCGCACAGAGTCGGACACGACTGAAGCGACTTAGCAGCAGCAGCAGCAGCAGTGAGCCATGGTAGGAAGTTTGGACTTCAGTGTAAGAGTAACAGGAAACCACTGATGAGTTTTACTCAAGAGAGGTACATGATCAGATTTAAACTTTTCAAGATTCGTTCTAGCTAATGAAGGCAGGGGCAAGAATCAATGTGGGGGAAAATGTCAGAAGACCATTGAAGCAGCTTTGCAGAAGTTCACTGTGGCATAAAAGGTAGTGGTGTAGTGAATATGGGAAGAAGGAACACATTTTGGATAAAGAAGATATTCCTTCTCTGTGAAAGAACATATATAATAAAAGTAACAAATATTTAATAAATGTATGGATGAATGGTTTTAGAAAGACACTGTCTGGCAAAGGCCTTAGCAAAGGCCTTATATAGTGAGCTTATTTTCTCAGCAAACTGTGTAAAATGGTGGGTTTTATTCATTATTTTACAAAACAAAACATAACAAGACAACATACATTTTTATGCCCTCTCTCCATACTAAAATAGATTTTCCAAATAAATCATGCCTTTAAAATAAATACCCTCATATCACCCATACCACTTAAAATTTTGTATCATACAGATGCTTATTTTTACTAAAAACAAAAAGGATGCCAGATTTTGTATTTTGCTTTTTCTTAAATTCTTTTTTTTTCTTTATAATTATGTCCTGGTGATTTTTTTTACAAGCATTTATGAAATAGTTAACATATTTTGAATGGAATAAAATGTCCTTCAAATTCTGTAAAGTTCTAAGAAATATTTTCTTGAGACATTTCTTAATTTTCTCTCTCCCACATGTGCTCATGACCTGTAGATGACCATTTTTCTTACTTTGTAGAGGAGAACAGATAGAAATTCCTCAATTTACTGTTCCACTCTGGTTCTACCACATATGTATATCACACCTATTAACTATTTTATCCATTCTGAGTAGACAAGAATTCCCCTAGCTGGTTTATGGTATCTCAGAACAAAAGTGTCTCATGAAATCGAATGAAGTGGAATTATTGTCCCACTATTCTGGATCTCATTCCCCACAATTACTTGGATCAGGATTATAGCACATATTCCCTTTCCTCTATTTCTAACACTTTTAAAACTGGTTCTTTCCCATCAGCATATCCATATGCATATCTTTCCATCTTAAAACTACCCTCTATATTCTTTATAACAGCTACCATATTTACCTCCTTGTACCTTACTGACTTTTCCTTAAAAACCATCATCATTACATCATTACATTCCTGATTACATTCCTCTGCTCATTTGATGGCAGGGTATGTATGCTTCCTTACTATACCCATTTTAAAGAAGAGAGAAAGGCTCAATAAACTTGCCAAAGGCTGTAAACTATAAAGGAATTTAGACAGAATTCAAATCAAGACAGCATCATTTAATGCTTTATTTTGCTTCATAATATAAAATTTGATGCCATCTCTACTATTACATGTAATTATTGCTTTTGTGTGCTTGTTTTTCTAATTAGCAATATCACAAAGATTCAAGTCATATTACTTAAGGAAATACATATAAATAATGAGAAAACAAATGTATCTTTTAAAATATGTGACTCTACTAAGTTCAAGACATTTTTAAAATTTTTAATTTGGTAAAAGCTGTCACATAAACATCAAAGTGTTATTCACTTCTTTCTGATAGTACTTTAAAATGTAACAAAAATGATAATAAAATATTAAATGCATTTTATATTACATAAAGATAGATATAAAGATATAATTTATATGAAAGTGAGTACAAATACGCTAAGATAAAGAAGTTATATTTTATATGCCTATATAATTGATCTAAATTCAATACCATTAGGAACAAAGAGTCCAAGGAACTATAATGACATTTTAGAAAGGCAGTCTAGTTTTACATAATTCAAAAGTGTAATGACTCAACTTTGTAACATTAAACTACAAAAGACTATTACTCACAGTAGATAAGTTCTAGTTTGCTCCATTATATTTTTATTTTTTCTAACCCTTTAGCTACTTTTTCAACTGTTATAGACAGAAGATCCCTTAAACCAAATTAAGCACTTAATTTCAATGCACTTGGTCACTACAGTCTTTAATGCATGACTTTATTCTGAAAACACATTGAGGGCTTACTATAGGCAAGGAACTATGTCAGGTGCTAAACATAAGTAGATGAGAAATGGGTGACAAAGCTGCTATCTGAGGGAGTTCAAGGAGAATGTCAGTAGCACATGAAAGTTACAGGCAACCTCATTAAACCTCTGAAAGTATATTCATTTAAATAAAAATATTTAACCAGTTTACACATAGCATAGGCAATCACATACAAAAGCTACTTGATACAGACTATTTGTTAATGACTAAAGGACATCTCCACACTATTCCTTCTCAAATGTCACAGCCTTTAAGGGAATAAGACAAAGTTCTTGGTTATACTAAAGAACTTTTTTTTCCCAGAAAATGTAAATTGGCTTCTTTTTGTGTATAGAAAGAAGTACTACTAGGGAGGAAAGGAATGTGGCTATTTTCTTATCTCTGCATGTTTCAGACTTTTTGAGCATAAAAAAGCAGATTTTGGTTAAAGGATAAACCTTGAGAGTTAAAAGATGATTGCATAGTGAGGGTCTTCTGGTGGGATTTACTTCCCAGGATATTTGCTAACATTTCAAAGAAGGTAAAGTCTGGAGCCTTATACTTGTATACCATAGGATTCTACATTAGGGAGATGTGAAGTTTCTCTATCTCTCAGGAGGACAGAAGGGCAGCAGTATAAGAATTCCTCTGCAAACACCCAGATTAATAATTTCTGGGTTCCTCACCTGTAGTGTAAACACCCCCATTTGGTACTTGCCAGTGGTACCATCTTGCTCCCTTCCCACTGCTCTGAAGTAGGAGATGGAATGTTGAGTACTGGTGTGGCTATTGCTCTATGAAACAAGAGTCTGCCTGATATAGTAACTATGTATTTGCTTCCTGGACAAAATAAATAAAGGCAGCTAATAAAAACTTGGTCTTCCCTGGTAGCTGAGTTGGTAAAGAATCTGACTGTAGTGTAGGAAACCCGGGTTCAGTCCCTGGGTTGGGAAGATCATGGGGTCACAAAAAGTCAGGCATGACTGAGAGACTAACACACTTTCAATAAAAAAGTATCATTTTTTAAATTATAATTTAGGAGGAAAAAAGTTTCTTTGAAGACAAAGCTTCACTATACTTATTTACAGGCAGATCAAGTCACCTAAGTAGTCAATAAATGATCTTATTCAGCAAAGAAAACACATTGATCTTTACCATTTTGTCATAAAAATCTCAATACAATTAAAAGCATGAATAGTTTAGTGGATCAAGGTAAGATAGACTAAAGAAAAGCAAAAGAAAAGTTACTTACTTGATATTATCAAGACAGCCAGATTCAGGTTTCAGAATGGCAGTGTGATGAAACATTTTATATAAAGCAATCCCAAGGAAGATTACATTAAGCTGGAATGTAAAAGGTACTGTTATGTAGTATAGCTGGAGTAGAAAAAAGATTAAGTCTGTTTTCTATGACAGATGAGTTGTTCTGGGAAATTAGCTCTCATAAAATAATTGGATCACAGATAATCATCTAGTATTTTTGTAAAGGCAGCTTGGAAACTTGAGATACCAAAGGATTATAAAGCATTGATATGCCAAATGCAAATAGAAAATCAGCAGCAGTTGGAATGATGCTGTAGAAACTATAAAACAATTCAAAGTCAAGTATATGTTTATAAAAAAGACAATACCTATTCCAGGTTGATATTAGATCCACCCTCTAAACATGGACCTTAACTTACTGTTCAAATGATGTATTACAAAACTAATATTCAAAATCATAATATTTGTGAATAGCTAGATCAAAAGGGTTATAAAATACTGGTTAAATTCTCATGCTACAACAAACTAGAATTAAAGTAGTGGGCAACCCCAATGACACTGTTATATCACTGGACCAAAAAGAGCATATGACATGAAATAAAACAAACCACATGTTAAAATGCCCTTGTTACCTGCTTTGTTTATATTTCAGAACTCGGGGCAACCTGGTCTTTTAAAATGATAAGCATATAAATAATGATACCAACAATAGTATCTAAATTAGGGTAAACAGTTCATATTTGATAGATATTATGCATTTAAAAATAAAAAAGAAAGCATTATTCCAGAATGTTTACCTAATTCACTTGTCATTCTCAAGTAAAATCCTCTTAAATTTTAAAGTTTTTGAAATTTATATAAAAACAGAATTGGAAGGAACATGAAGGTTATTTATTTATTTTTTTGCCACATTTCCAATTTGATTTCATTCATAGTTCAAATTATCCAAATGAAAAAGAAAGAAAATGTACTACTGTCAAACAAAGTCATCACTGTTTAAAACTTATAAAACCAAATGGATTAGGCTAGATCAAGTTCTTGAGGAGCTATAGTACTGCATAAACTTGTTCAAATGCATGTTTTCTGCTCCCGAGGGTTTTGATTAAGCATTTTACAATACAAAAGTAGACTAATGAGTGTCTAATTGCTTGAGTTATTTAGGGTCAAATAAATACATGCTTACCCCCAAATTAATCTATGTAAAATAAAGATAGCCAGCACAGGGAGAGTGAAAGTTTTATTTCTTGACCTGGGAAACACATAGTTAATTAGGAGTTCTTACCATAATTATCAAGGTCGCTGGTCCTATAAAACTCCAAATGAAGTAGGTATCAAGTCGGAGCCAACATCTGCAATGAAACACAGGGAGAGAAGGCATTCAAGGACTGGCTACGGGACATACATCAGGAGGGAGCGAGTGACAGAGAAGAATGTGAGCTGCAAAGCATTCCACTGGGAGACAGGAAATATTACATTGCTTGTTCATTTAAATGCTGAATTATGTGCCCAATTTCTGACAGCACTATTGATGGAGTAAGATAATTACCCCTGGAGGAAGCAGGAATAAATGGCACTGGGCCTATTTGCTGGGGCCTTTTGTGTCTGTCATAGAAATCTAAAGAAAAAAAAGAAAGAAAGAGGCACGCATATAGCCATCAAGTCGAGTAGCTTTAAGCTATCCTTTTCTCTCCAATTATGGTGCTACATAACCTGTCTATCAGCTGTCAGGTGAAGTGACATTTTCCTGTCAAGAAGATCTGAGGAAATTCAGTACAAAGAAGAAATAAATTTGGTATCAGAATATTGAAGTTTAATTAGGTTGGGCAGCCAACCTTTGAGAGTTCTTGAGTCTTAAAAACTGCATTGTTACTGCTAGTGCTTCTGGGGTTGCAAATGATCCTTAACATCCCATGAAGTTGATTCATGACCCAAAAGTAAATTATTAATCACTTAATTTCAGTTACATTTAATACTCCCCCAATTCTTAAAGCCTTTGGGAAATTACATTTTCTTTCTTCAGGATGACAGGAAGACAAAATGGAAGTGACTAGTTATGAGAAAGATTAACGTAAATTTTGAACAAATTGCCTTTGATGTTAAAAATCATATCTTGAATTATTTGCCATTTGGATATACTTGAAGCATAATTAAAAAAAACAAACAAACTGGAAAATAGTTGAGTGGTGTGCTAAGCGTTCTAAAACAGCATGTATGTTGTCTGAAGTACGTAAATATTTCTGATTATGTAACTAGTCATTAAATCTCATCAATAATGGAAAACCAGAAAAGCTATGAAGAAATTTATATATGTCAATACAGCAACAAATAAAAAAAAAGTTTTCTATTCAAGTGATGAAATGTTATAAAGTAGTAAAGAGGGAGGGTCTTTATATGTCAGTAAAATAGATCACAGTGACAAAGGTTAATGAAAAACTAAAGTGACATATCTGTATGAACTATAATATTCATATTTTTGACATATATATATATATGAATGCAATTTTTTTAATTAATTGGGAAAAATCACCTAACTCAATTAGTGATTGCCTCTCATATGAGTGTGCAGAGGACTAGAAGTGCACAAGAGAGTCTTTAGCTATATGCTTCATTTTTAAAATTACCCAAAGCTACCTGCCAAAATACCAACAGTTTTATCATCTGAGCAATAGAGCCAGTGAGGTTTACTATTTTTTTTTCTTTTTACTTTTAAGTAACTTAAGTTTTTTATAAAGGTTAAAAGTTAGATTTTTTAAGTAAAGAAATAACCAAATGCCCTGAAAAAACCTGATTTTAAAACAAGAAAATCTGGCTTTATTCTATAAAGTAAAATATTTGCGAAATAATTTGCGTTAGGATATATCTGCAGTGCAATAAGAAACTGACTACAAGTTCATATTTTTACATAATTCTCTTCATTCACAATAAACCTAATAATCTTATTTGAAAAAAATGTTAGAGAGGCAATCAATACTCAAACTACTAGCATTTATTTATTTGAGTACTTAGTAGTCTTTTTGTTGTGCTGTTGTTAACAAAGTTTGGCCATGGAGAAATAAAAGTATGGTATTGGCAATAAGCAGAAACAAACCAGAGAACTCAACGGTTGAAATACAAACACCGTCTTCATTCTGACTGTAGGCTGTTACCCCTCTAATAATGAGTTTGTGTGTGTTGCCAGGAGACAAAAGCAGAGGAAATATCCATGGGTCTCTCTGGGTTTTCAACAAGGATTATATTTTCCCACAAATTAAGATCAATAAAGGACAAAGCATGAATATTTTCCCAGATTAAAACATACATAAGCATGCATGCACACACACACATATACCCACAGACAGAGTCCAAGAAGGCTGCTAAAAAGCCAGGTTCCTCTGTCCATGGGATTCTCCAGGCAAGAATACTGGAGAGGGTTGCTACTTCCTTCTCCAAAGGGTCTTCCCAACCCAGGGATTGAACCCAGGTTTCCTGCATTGCAGGCAGATGCTTTACTATCTGAGTGGCCAGGGAAGCCCTCTGAAATTATAGCAGCATGATATTCTAACAGCACATTTAAGAATGACTGTTATTCTTATAGCCCCTGTTCACGTGTAGGTCAAACAAGTTTTTGAGAGTTAATCTGAGAACCAAAATATATTCTCTGCAAATTGTTTTCAAAGGGAAATGCATTTTGAGAATTTCTGAAAACAGTTACTCTACAGGTTAAGTACTTCTTATATGAGTAATTTTAATTACAATATTGCAGAGTATCTTGGATTAAGTAGGAAATTTTAAAAACCTTTACATAATCTCACCAAACATGTTGTTAAAATAGCATCATTAAATTTTAGCCTTACAAAACTTTTATACTTTTTTGAAAAAAGGTCTCTACTTAGCAAATGCTTTGGTTGGAAATAGATGTGCTTTTGACATAGTGATCTCTAAATGTAGAAGTGAAATTACTTTAGAAGTTTTTTTTGGGGGGGCAGTAAAAAAAATTCTTCAATATATATTTGGTATAAGTGAAATTACTGTATAAATGTTTTTTTTTATTGAAAGAAAATTCTTCAATATCTATTCAGTACAATAGATTTAAGTTCCCTAGAGAACTAAACAGTGAATGAGGCAATACAAAAGACTTAACATGTGCCGAATAAATCATCCATCCCTAAGGGCTGCCTGGGCCTGACTATCTTCTGGAAGGCAACGTGGCAAGAATTCCTTTTCTAATTCAATTGCCATATGGCCATACCTGCTGTTTCTGGCTGCATGCTGGCTTTCTCAAAAGTTTCTGTATTTCCTCTCTTTCTCATTAAGTATCTCAAAAGTTTGTGTGATTTGTGCCCTGAGTTTCCTATGCCAGTGTTGAAAGAACTCACCCTAGCTTTAAGGTCAGGGAGAATACAGACATCTCTCAGTATCCATGGAAATTGGTTCTAGGACCCCAAACCCCCAATCCACAGATGCTCAGGTCCCTTACAGCTGGTCTTCTGTATTCACAGATGCTGAACCCATGGATATGGAGGGCCAACTGTATCATGTGGGTGTTTTTACATGCCTGGGCACATACAATCCACCTCATAGTATTCCACAAGTCTAGACAATTCAATGTCACTTAGATGTAATGCAAAACCACTAATTAAGGGAAGACAAATGTTAAAGGAACAACTTATTGCACTAAACACAATAAAGTCTAGTTTGCAAATGACCAAATAGATCTGCCACTGAAAAATATGATTTATCTGAAAATTTCCTTTATTCACTAAGCATCATTTAATTTGTGAAATTGGTAATTTTGTGCTTAGTCACTCAATCATGTCCAACTCTTTGTGACCCCATGGACTGTAGCCAACTAGGCTCCTTTGTCCATGGGGATTCTCTAGGCAAGAACACTGGAGTGGGTTGCTATGCCTTCCTCCAGGGGATCTTCCCAAGCCAGGGAATGAACCCAGGTCTCCTGCATTGCAGGCAGATGCTTTACCATCTGAGCCACCAGGAAGCCACTGTTGTTTAATTTTTAAGATTATGTCAATTCTTCTAACAAACTTCTGTCATTTATGTATAGTCTATAAATTAGGTTTATAGCTGTACTGCAACAAGAGAGAGAACCTGCTGTTGAAAGAGCAAGTGTATTCTGATGACCCAACATGCTTATTTGACTCAAGTTTGGAAAACCCTGTAAGACCAGACATACCCTGTAATTCAAAAGAGAACTTGTCACAAACCATAAACTTTGACTTTTCCTCCCAAGTACCTATACAAAGATGTCATCAAAATTTTTTTGTAGCAATTTAAAAAAAGTATAAAATCAGCACATATTGCTAAATATTTGAAAAAATCTTACTACATTAATTCAAATTTATTGGTGCTAAAGAAGTAATGCCAATTTACATGGCTAAATTATCATTCTATTCTAGAATTGTCTTCTTCCAAAATATAAGAAACACTTGCAAATTAGATGATAATAAAAGTATTGATATCTGGATCAGTCTCACATAAAAATATCAATTATCAATCCAGCAAGTACTACCTTAAATGATGGAATTCATTTCTCAAAACAAGACCAGAGAAAACCATACTTCGAAAGATAATTCTCTTCTACTAAAATACTCCTCACTGTTTTTCTTTCACCCTTTGCAACCCCATGGACTATACAATCCATAGAATTCTCCAGGCCAGAAAAATGAAGTGGGTACTGAATCTCCAGGGGATTTTCCCAACCTAGGAATAGAACAGAGTCTCCTGCATTGCAGGCGGATTCATTACCAACTGAGCTATGAGGGAAGCCCTTCTTTCACTAGAAAAATGGTGCTGAAGAATTTATTTTCAGGGCAACAATGGAGAAACAGACATAGAGAATAGACTTATGGACACTGGGCAGGGGGAGAGGGGAGGAGAGCGTGAGAACATGGAAACTTACATTACCATATGTGAAATAGATAGCCAACAGGAATTTGGGAATTTGCTGTATGGCTCAGGAAACTCAGACTCTGTAACAACTTAGAGGGGTGGAACGGGGAGGGAGATGGCAAGGAGTTCCAAAAGGGAGGGGATATATGTATACCTATGGCTGATTCATGTTGAGGTTTAACAGAAAACAGCAAAATTCTGTAGAGTGATTATCCTTCAATAAAAAATAAATTAATAAACACACACACACACACAAAAAAACATGAATGATTCTGTGTTTAGAAAAATGGTAAAACCAATTGCCCAATATATATAAATGTTACCAAAAACATATGACTTATAATGCTTTTAGATACTAGAAGCACTACATCAGTGCAGTTCCTTATTCAAAGTTATCATGTTTAATACAGTGCCATTTAATTAAGAGGCCATGGTGCACTGTATTTTTTTGCCTGTTTATTCA